GTGAAACAGCTTTTTGCTTCCGATCATCAATAATTTTGATAGTGGTTTTGCATGGATCCGTCACTGCCACCTCATTTTCATTACACCTTGATAAAAAATCCGCTACTTTATCCGGTCACTCCAGGCCTATAACTGACACAGAATTTAAAAGGCTGTAGAGACCATGACCAGCGCGTGATTCACATGCTATCATGTTTGGACTTATTTAGCCATTGTAAAGGAGCATGAACAGTGACTAATTTAAATTCTCTTCCCATTAAATAATACTGTAAGTAGTTTATTGCCCACTTTATCACTAGACACTCCCTCTCAATAGTAGAATACATTGTTTTGGTGGCATTTAATTTTTTATTAGCAAAGGCAATCAGTTGCTCCATGCCCTCTTGATCCTGACACAACACCCCTCCTACGTCAGTTTCAGGTGCATCTGTCTGCAGGATAAAATTTTAGAGAAGTCGGGCATTACAACTACCACATCATTACATAGGGCCTTTTTGATGTCCTTAAGGCTCTTTTCATTTGGGAAGTCGACTTTATCGAACCCTGGAGTTCATGAAACACATGGCTGCTCTGGTTGAGGGCAACATGTCCATTGTCCTGAACAGCCTGCCCTCAGAATTAGCAGATAACTATGATGCCTTTAAAAATGCTGTGTGTTCAAGGTTCAGGTTAGGACTGGATTATTTCTGGGAAAAAATTCTGGAATGCCATCCCACAACTGGGGAAGTCAGTGGTCGAGATTACGGCCCAGGTGTGGGACTCACTCCTTAAATGGGCAGATGGAGCCAACGCTGACACCAGAGAGAAGCCACTAAACCTTGTAGCACTGGACCAATTCTCTCACTGCTGTCCAAAGGAGATTAAAACCCTAGTCAAAGACAAGAACCCCAAACCATCCAAGAGGCCGCTGAAATTGCGGACCAACTGTTGCTAAATTGTGATGGGCTGAACCAAAAGCCTCCCTACTTTGGGAAGGAACAGAAGGGGTTCCACAAAGTGGGGAAGGGAGGGCCAGGCCCAAAATGGGAAAGAGGGCCACCTCCTGCTGAGTACAAGGCGGCCCCAGATTCGGACAAACCACCCAATTTGGAAAAGAGGGGTTGCTATAACTGCGGGGAGCCGAGCGACATCAGACCCAACAGCCCCAAACTAAGCAACAAACCCAAGCCAATCAGCCATGCAACAGCTGGTAAGCAGTGAGACCCAAGCCACTGTGAGGGGCATACCTGTTGCTACAGGATTACAAACCCAGAGGAAGTGACAACCACCCACTGGACTGAGATAATGGTAAAAGGGAGAACCCTTGTCAGGGAACGGGACACAGGGGCCAGTGTGTCATTAATCAATGCCAACCTTGTTTCACCCATGGATATAGTCCTGGGGAGGACCCTTATGGTACAAGGGGTGGGGCCTCAGTCATTCAAGGTACAAGTAACCTGTCTCCCCATCAAGTGGAGAGGCTGCAGGATGTGCATGGAACTGGGAGTGCTGGAAGAGGCTTCTGTCCCCATCTTGGTGGGGAGGCATGTTTTGGAGCTTGAATATCTGCAAAGGGAGGGATCCCACTTCATAGAGTCCTACCATGTTAAAGTGGTGACTCGTCAACAGAGCAGAAAGGCTAAGGTGAGAGGAGTGGAAAATTCCCAGGCCTGGTCACCCAATTGGCTGCAGAGGCAGAGAAGGAAAAGGAGAGGCTTCCTCTGACTGCAGCCAGCCCCCAGCCAGTGAGGAAACGTCAAAGTTGGGGTTGGGTTAAGTGACAGCCCCAGGGAGGAGCCTGGTCAGTAGGTGGCAGAGGAAACTGAGACTCTCGGGGAGAAGTTAAAGGACATCCCTCAGGGTGAAGGTGTACTCCTTACCTTAGCCAGGCAAGAGGAGTTCAAGCAGGAGGGTCTAGAGGACCCCAGCTTGGAGGAACTCCGGCAGATGGCTTAGGAGCAAGAAACAGAGTTCACCCCAGATAAGACGGAACAGGTGGTCTAGGATAAGGGACTCCTTTATCGATTGTGGGTAGCAAAGAACCATGCCGAGACCTGGGAGCCCTGTCGCCGGCTCCTAGTACCTCGTAAGTTCAACAGTTGCTTTCCATGTTTCATGATTTACCTTGTGCTGGTCACATGGGCAGGGAACAGACATGCCAGCGGCTGCAGGCGAACTTTTATTGGCCCAGAATTGCCCAGAATCTGACAGACTACTGAAGATCTTGTGAGACATACCAGAGGACCAGCAAAAGTGGGGACAAGAGAAAGGATCCCCTACAGCCCCTCCCTATCATTGATCAACCCTTCCAAAGAAGGATATTGTGGGCCTACTGAGGCATAAGACCCATAGAAGGAAGAAATACATCCTGACTCTAGTGGATTTCGCAACTTGGTACCCAGAGGCAATTGCCTTGACCTCTGCCAAGGCACCTGTAGTTGCTGAAGCCCTGACCCCAAGATCTTCTTTCAGCTGGGGTTTCCCTCTGACATCCTGACTGACAAAGGTGGGAACTTCCTGGCGGAGGTGATGAAGTGCCTGCGGGAGTGCTGTGGAGTAAAACACCTTAACATCACAGCCTACCACCCTCAGACAAATGGGCTTGTAGAAAGGTTCAATGGTATGCTAAAGGCCTATGTGGACCTAACCCCAATGACTGGGATGAGAAACTTCCGCATTTGCTCTTTGCCTACCATGAAGTACCCCAGGAGTCCACTGGGTTCTCGACATTCGAGTTGATGTCCAGAAGGGGAGTTGGGGATCCTCTCAATTTGCTGAGAGAAGAGTGGAAAGGGAAAATCTCTTCCACTAAGACCTCCATGGTAGAGTACGTGCTCAGCTTTTGTTAGAAGCTAACTGACATGACAAAGGTGGCACAAGACTCCTTGGCCCAGGCCCAGGAGAAGCAAAATGTCTGGTATGATGAAAAAGCTCGCTTATGTACCTTTGAATGAGGTGATAAGGTCATGGTTTTCCTGCCACTAAAGACAGACCAGCTGCAAGCAGCTTGGGAAGATCCCCATATCATCCTGGACAGGCTAGATGATGTGACCTATGTAGTGATCAGGAGTGGGGCAGACAAAAAGCCTAAGATAGTACACATGAACATGCTTAAACCATACTTTAATAGATGTGATTTGGTATTCTGGATTTCCTCAGTAGAAGGATCACCTGATGTACTGGGATGGATAGCCAGGAATAGAGGAACTCCACCTGCCAGATCATCTGCCCTTCCAGGACAAGGACAAACTGCTCGCAACACTCAAGGACTTTGAGACAGTGTTCTCTAACAAACCAGGTAACATGAACCTGGCAGTACACTCTATAGACACAGGCAGCGATTGCCCTATCCAATCCAGACCATATGCAGTTAATGCGAAGGTGATGCAAGAAACAAAGCAGGAAATCGTAGAGATAAGAGTTAGGTGTAATCTGGCCTTCAATGAGTTCCTAGGTCAGCCTGGTGGTACTTGTCCGGAAGCAGGATGGGTCCAGCCGGTTCTGTGTGGACTACAGGAAGCTGAATGCTGTTACCACCCCTGACGCTTACCCTTTGCCCAGGACAGCCTCTTTGCTTGGATCACCTGTGCCCAGCCAAGGTCACCTCTACTCTTGATCTGTCCAAAGGATTCTGGCAAATGGCACTGGATTCAGATACCATAGCCAAATCTGCCTTTACCACAACTGTGGGACTATATGAGTTTACAGTTTTACCTTTCGGTGTGTGCAACTCTCCCACATCTTTTCAAAGACTGATTAATAACCTGTTACAAGAATGTGAGCAGTTTGCCATGGCTTACATTGATGACATCCCCATCTTCAGTCAGGACTTTGAATTGCACCTGATTCATCTGACCACTGTGTTAGGTAGGATCAAGCAAGCTGGTCTTACCATAAAAGCCAAAAAGTGCCAGTTGGCACTATCTGAAGTGGTATATTTGGGACATTGTGTGGGGGGAGGTCAGATTGCTCCCTTGTGGGACAAGATTGAGGCTATTAGAGACTGGCCACCCCCACAAATCAAGAAGCAAGTCAGAGCCTTCCTTGGCTTGGCTGGATATTACAGGCATTTTGTCCCTGGATTTGGAGTGATGACAGCTCCCCTACATGAGATGACCAAGAAGAGCAGCCCTGATCCAGTGGTCTGGAAGCAGGGGTGCCAGGAAGCATTTGACACCCTACAGGCTGCCCTTATCAAACCACCAATTCTGAATGCACTGGTCTATGATAAACCCTTCTATGTAGCCACTGATGCCTCTGATTCAGGATTAGGAGCTGTACTCTTACAAGAGCACAGAGACATGGCACCCCACGGTTTACTTAAGCCAGAAGTTAATCCCTTGGGAGCAGAACCTGTCATCTATTGAAAAGGAGTGTTTGGCAATCAGCTGGGCACTGAACAAGCTGAGGCCCTATCTGTGGGGGCAGCAGTTCACCATTATATCGGACCATGCCCCACTTCAGTGATTGCAGACAATGGAAAACACCAATGCCAAGCTTCAACAATGGGCCTGACAGCTTCAAGACTTCAACTTCACCATCAAATACATCAAGGGAAGCCAGAATGTGATAGCAGATGCCCTGTCACAAAAGGACTCTGGGTAGTGGGTCAGATGGACTCAGGCACACCTGAGAGAGGTCTGGCATGGGAGCTCCCCAGTGTGTTTCGATGTCCTACATGTATTTGTTGTGGAAACACATGCAGCATACTTTTGGGTCAGGTCAGCAGAAGCTTTTATTCAAAAGAAACTACAGCTGTAGGGGGGATTCCAAAGTGACATGGATTTCCCAAGCACTTGGAAGGGGTCCCCCCCCAAGAGCAAAATCAGGAGGCTTATATACTTTTTAACAGTTGCTTACAACTCACGTGATCATATAGTGAAATTAGCATGAAAAGCGGCTATAATATTACTTCATTATTTCTTTGCTGTAATCAGGATGGGAACTAATGGGGGAGGCGAGGTTAGTTCACAAACCTCCTTCTTGCACCTGCAAATCAGAGTTGTACATACTTTTTGCTATCTTCAAGGCCGCGGTGAGCGAAGCAGTTGCAGAGGAGTTACAAAGAACAAACACTTTCTCTTATCTGTTCTACTATACAGAGCCAGCAATTCTCCACAAAGCGGTTATGTCATCTTATAACTAAAATAGTCAAAGTTTAAGGCATATATTTTTTCTGATTCCACAGGCAGGTATCAATATTGTTATGACTAGTCTTATGTGTTGTGTAATCTCTCTTCAGGTGTGAAAGATGACCCTTCCAAATGAAACACGCTCGTACCCATGGCTCTGTGAAGCCATGTGCCCAAGCTTTTAAAGGGGGGGGGAAGCGGGGCAGAATGCCACCTCTGTTCTGTCTCTCCTCAAAAACTGTGCTCTATAACAATTTGGTTAACATGTTAGGCCCTGCAGAGGGCAGACATCCCATCTCTTTAGGTAACCTGAGTAGGATACATTCCTGAGGGAGGGGACACCCAGGCATCACATACCTGGGTGAGGGACTTACACTCACTATTGTTCTAAGCAATGCCATCCTGACTGGGGGGGGGCTAGAGCCCCTGCCAGTCTACCCAGCAACCAGTGATGCATTTCAAATTGGTTGGCTGACAGCCAACAGGTGCTAGCCTCCATTGGACCAGGTAAATGAAGTCATAAGAACTATATAAATTAAGGACTGCCCAGGAGGAGGAGCAGGAGCCATGACGAAAACTCAGAGAGAAGAGCTGGACCATCTGAAACTTGCTCTCTCTCTTGAAACTCATGATCAATGAACTGCCTGCCTCCAGAGGGATTCTCCACCTGCCTCTGGATGATACTCATGAGTAAGCTACCTGAGATCTAACTAGATATATAGCTTGCAGTAACTCAGATGCATGATCAAAGGCTACCCAGCCACCCTGTTTGCTCTATGGGATTTCTCTGATTGCTCTCCCCTGTACCCTATTCCAAACCTACTCCTTGTAACCAATAAAGTTCTCCTTTGAACCTAGCATGGGAGACTCACTGGGAGAGGAGCTAGATTATGGCTCAGGTGTCCCCTTGGTTTGGCTGACTAAGGGAGACCACTTTTTGTGCTTCAGACTGAGGGAAGCACCCCAAGTTCTCAAAGTGGGTTGAGTACCCTCGAGGGCTACTAGGCATGTATTTCCCTGGGGATACAGTGCCAGGGTCAGGCCAGACCCTGGGTGGTGGTGGTGCTATCCCCTGGCTAACGGGTGTGCTCCAGGAAGGGGGTCAGCCAGACGCAAGGTGTCCCCAGGGAGGCACTCAGAGCCTGGAAGGTGCTCGGGTGTGGTGAGGTGGGTAGCTCAGTGCAGGAACACCCGCTACTGGACTGCCACAATGTTCCTAGAGCTATGTGGGCAATGGTCTCTCAAATGCAGAGGAAGGTGTCAATTTTGGCGACTATGTTGTCCTCAGTGGCAGAGGACAGGGACATGTAGTGCTGTGACAGGTAGCTGTCCAGCCATCAGCAGAGGTTGCATGGCAGCCCAGGCTTGACCCCTGCACCAACATAGCTCAGGGTCCTGAGCCCGGATTGTAGGTGTGCCTGAGGCACCAACAGGATGAGCAGGAGCAGGGTGTAGCAGCTCAGGCTACCCTCTTCTTTCACAAACAGATCATTGTGCATCGACTGGGGAACACACTGCAGGGGCATGCTTGGTGCACACTGGTGGCATGTGGGGGCAGCACCCTGGCACTTCTCCAGAGAGGTCCCCTGCAGGGAGGGCGGGGGTGTAGCCAGACCCACACCCCAGTTGTCTGGGAGCCCCATGCGCCCCAAGCTCAGACTCCATGGGCTGTGCATCAGTGCAGTGACTGGAGAGCGGCTGGCCTGCAGGGGCAGGGGGAACGGGATCTGTTGCTGCGCCAAGTGGGGAGGAATCAGGGTAGCCAGGCTGCCTGTAGCCAGCACACTGCATGGTGAAGGACACAGAGGATCAAGTGGGGGATAGGTAGCTCGGCCACCCGGCAGCCACCTAGGCACAGTCCTGCCCATCTGCACAGCTTGCCATGTTCTCTGGGCACCGTCACACTGCTGATCTCCAATCTGAGGCTGGGCACCACTAGGCCTCCGGTGCAGAGAATCTTATTTCTACAATGTTGCAAACTCATACAAAAGGCCTCTGTCTCTTGCCTGTTCAGGGCCAACATCTGCATGCAGGGATGAGGGAGCAGGGCCCTGTGGGAGTGCTGCCTCAGGGTTGCCTGCCAACACCCGCTGCTGAAGACATCTGGGCATACACCAGAGACTGGACCCTGCTCCAGTAGCAGGTGGCCAGCCATGGATGGCCAGTGGTGCCTCTGTAATCAGGTCTTATGCTCTGCTCCCATAACATTTAATATAAATGCATGCAGCTTTAAATCATTCCCTGAAAAACCAACCCAATTAGGGAGCAAGTCAGGGCAAGGGCTTTCAAGGCCCAGGCTTTTATTATTGTGACCACAGAAATACAGTAGGCAAATCAAGCCCACTTTATGTGTGTGTTAGCCCAGGATTAGGCTAAGGCAGGGAACCCTAATTGGGCAGGTCCTCTTACTGCATCAAGCTACCAAGGGGTTATCAAACAACCTCCCACCAGTCGTCCACAAGCTAGCAACTGCCTCCCCACCCAAAGCCCACCTCTTAAACAGAGAGAACATGAAGTAAAAAAACCCAACAAAGCAAACAGAAAACTTTATTTACAAACAAGAAAAATAAAAAAAGAAACAAAACGAAGAACAACATTTTTAAACATTCATTCAAAAGTACTATAAATAATTATGGGTCATTATACTATAACAATATAGTATAGTTATAGCATAATAGAACTAGTTATAGCGTGGTATAAGTATATAACTTCTATGCTATAACAATAACTAAACTATTACTATCACAATAAAAAGTTACTGTAGCAATTCTTAAGTACAACAATTAATAAGTTATTCTGAACTGGACAGAGAACTGTTAATTTGCATTGTGCAGATATGTGCCCAACATTGCTGCTGACTGGCATGGGAAGATGCAGGGGCTGCTGCAGGACCAGGTCTGATGACCACCAGGCATAGAATGGGGAGAAGTACACCCAATAGTACTTGGCGGTCCTGCCAGGTCTGGGTATGCCTCCTGGACTCAGCATGGTTGCTTTCACCTTGGACGCCCACGTTGCTTCCCATAGCTCAATGGACCTGTCTAACCAGGTCTCACAGCACCAGCACGTTACAGCACCAACACGTTACTTCTAGCATTGGCTGCAGCCTGCCTGGGTTGCCTTCATGTCCTTGGTGGAGGTGTTGCAATCTGAGCTGAAAAGAAACAAAATAATGAAAATTAATAAATGCAGTAATTAGACTGATTGATGGATGCTCACTGCTCTAAAAAGATGCACTCAGAGAATCCTGCGAGCAGAAGAAAAAGAAAATTGTTCAGTCCAAAATGACTGAGAATCAGTGCCTGGTCAAGGGGGGTAGCAAGCCCTGACTGGCTGTACACAAGTGTGATTCTGCTGCAAACAAGTGGCTGAAAACAAATTCCTCTCTCCCTGCTTCACCTCACAGCCCAGCCTAATCACAGCTGTCACTTCAGGTGACAGGTGACTGACTTAGGTTCCTCAGGGCTTCACATATCATGTGTGAAGGTCGAGGTCCTTGGTCTGTCCTCCTCGGAAGAATTGGCTGGTGACATGCCCGTGACCCTTCCACTTTCCTCTCCATCTGAGTGGCTGGATTGCCTAGGAGTGGCAACTGGGGTTTGCGAAGTGCCTGAAGGCAAGGACACCCCAGAGGTCTCTGTTGCTTGCTGTTCACGCTGATCCAGTACCTCCATTAGCAGCTGGAGGTACCTGTAGTGAACCACGTAACACACTGGGGTGCCCTGGCACTACACTCGTGCGACATCCCTGTGGAATTTTGCCTGCAGCGTCTTAGCCTTGACCCAGCACTATAGTGGGGTCCTGTTGTGAACCCTCTCTGACATTTTCTGGGCAACATCAAGGTAGATTTGCCAGTTGGCCCGTGGACTGCAGATGAACTGGCACACATCAGGGTCCCCCAGTACACACGCCAGGTTCTTAGTTTTGGTGAAGGTCCAACCTATGCACTACCAGACACTCACTTCTGTCACAAATCTCAGGTATCTGAGATCAATAAGGCATGCCCTGGGGAGCTGTGTGCAGTCTTGAGGTCACCTGGCCAAGGAAAGTTCCTGTAGTACCTGGGCAAAGTTTGAACATCAGACATTATCTGCAACTGTTGCATCTTTTGGCACCAGACTGAGTGGTTCTCTTGGGTCATTTTGGAGCCAGCCTAGTTTGAGCCAGGGTAGGGGGCTCTGTCTGACCCCAAAGGCACTCCATGCATCTTAGGGGCACGCTGGTTATGGATGCCATGGGACAGCGGGTACCCACTATTCATAAAGCGGCTCTGCTTTTAGATTCATGATCGGCTTCACAGAACCCCACCTGTCGGTTTTAAGTAAAAGTGACCAGAGATTGTATGATATTAAGGAAGAGGGCAGTCAGGCCACAGACACCCAAAAAGGTTGGGGTGACCTGCTCAAGGGAAGTTCACGAGCAGCCCTGACCCTGTAGTGCCTGGGCAAAGTGTGGACAGCTGACATATGGTTATGGATGCCATGGGACACCCTTCATGGCCAAAAGCTTCCCCTGCACCACAATCACAACAGTGCCTCCCTTCAAGGGAGACCCCCACCACCAACAGCAGCCACCACCCACAAGACTGAAGCCCCACAGATCACTAAAGCACTGTGTACATTGATTGAAAACACAAACTTATAAAACTAAAGCTTTAATTCAAATATAAATGAATAACA